ACAACTTTAAAGGTGATTTTCGCAACAACAAAAAAAATCTGCACGTGCAGATTATGTATAAATCTCAATTTCAAAAAATGTACCCTTATGACTGTTTTTGTGCTCTAGGCCATATATAAAAAATCTGACACAATCCACAAAAGACGCATATCCAACCGAAAGGGCTGAGACTATAGAATATCCCCAATGCATAAACAACTCACACACCCACACACACTCACACAAACGGTACACACACTCAAACACATTATAACATGAATGATGTTATTGCTAGGAAATCACTGTCATTTTGACCGTTTTGACTTAAGTTAAATTTGAGTGCTGCGGTGGAGACCAATGACTTTATAGCATATTTATAGCTTTAAATATATATTTTATATTACATATTTATTAAATTGTATGAATATACATGTTGATTAAAATTCAGTTTGAAAAGTTAAAGAATTTTTTGCAAAATAGATTTATATATATTAAATATAAGATATATATTTTTTCATGTTTAAATGTATCTGACTGCATAAAAAAAAAGCAAATTCGAGCTTCAAATTGGACTAAGTTTGTTTCACTTGTTTTGCTCAGTTAAGAATCTCCATAGGATTATATAGGCCCCTCTAGAGGCAGTACCATAAAATGCTATTTTGTCTTTTTTTTCTTCACAAGATGGAAAGAGTTTAAATTACACAATTCCATAATTTTAAACATACCTCTAGGTCTCTTCCTGTTTTTTTCACCTGAACAAGCATATGGATGCTCTACCTGCCATTTGGATGTTGAGTAGCAGTGGTCCTGGAGAAACATCCTCTCAGTTGGTCCATCTGATGATATACAAATACAAGACAATGGACTATATGCATGGAGCATTCTTTAGAACTTCTGTATATAGATAAGCCAGCTCGAAAACTTCCAGTGAAACGTCATTTGATGCTGTGGTATATATGTAGATACTCTTGAGACCCTCAAAGAAACCTCTACTGCCTCATTCTTGTCAGAAACTGAGAAACAACTGCAAAAATAAATAATAACAGCAGCATTATCTTACAGCTTCATGTTATTTAATAACACTTAACAACATAATTTTATATGCTGATCCTGGTAATCCCAGAAGAGTACCTAGACACGTAATTGTACATTTAAATGTTAACAAGTACACACTATCATAACTGTTTAGGCTAACGTTGGCTTGCTAGTGATGTTATCTCATAAACAACACTGTAATGGTATTTACAATGTCACCAATAACCTAGAAGGATTATTTATTTAAATACTTAACTAGTTAAGGACAAATTAATTCAGTTCATTATTAATGGTATAACAATTAAATACTACAAAACTACATTTTTAAAGTTTTCTTTAACTGTAGAAGCTGCTCAATATATTCAGCCAACACAGACTTGTTGCAAGCTGTTGTTTTGTTACTCTGAATTTACTCTGAAACACTTAATGCCGTTTTGACATCGGCTTCGCAGATGTTTTGTTCCATCCGTCGTTACAGTTATCACTGTCAATCATAGTAATGACTCGCGCAACAATCTAGCCGACTACCTTGTGTAATTATTTACTCTAGCTTTTGTCGTTCCTGAAACAGTATATGTGAGCGTTTGGTCCTCTCATACAAACAAAAATGTTCTTCAGATTGTTAATGGATTATATAGAGAAACCGAGCAAAGGGCACTCCCCTTATAGCACAGCTGAGTTTGACAGTTCACTGGAAATGACTGAGATGGCTTATCTAAAACCAGGAAGTAACTCTACATATAGTCCATTAGTAACAACAGGAATTACAAACAAATATCCAATATTTCTCAATCTAGCATTTCATTTCAAACTTAATGCTAGATGGAATACTTTTCAATCTGTAGTATGTCCTCAGTCTTGACACATTGACCCTCTGACAAGCTGACCCTTTGACGATAGTGGCCACCCCTTTGGAAGAGATGCTGGCCACAGTATATGGTCCTTGGTGCTGACTTGTAAATGTGTCTCCTGTCCGTCGTTTCTTGGGGTCCCGTGAGAGCAGAACATCATCACCGGCCTGAACTGAACATACTCGCACAAACTTGCGCTTGCGATTTTGGAATGACTTCTGTTGCATGCTCTGTGCTTTCTCTATGTTGTGAAGAACCTACCAAAAAAAAAAAACGGTACACAAAATTAAAACTAGTTAAATTAAAACTAAATTTGGTCTCTTGATCAATGGAGTTTCAGTCAGGCCAAAATAGAACAATAAGGAACAAGGGTTAATGATTACAATGTAACAGAGTGAGGGAGAGTGGCTTCACATGAAGATTCAATTGCTTTTATAACTAGAGATAAAGCAGAATCACAGCAACAAAAAAAATACATAGATCGGCCTACGCCTAGGTTTAATTCTGATAGTAATTCACTACTTAATTTACCTTTATTATTCAAATACATACCGTTTCATTGAGAAGTTTCATCTTATTGACTCTGGTGTCGATGTCATCTTCTGGGTCAGCAACTTCAAAATCATCTCCCATGGGACAGGCATTCATGACCTCTGGCAGACGTGGGTGTCGATGGAAGAGGAGGAAGTAGGGACTGTGTCTAGTGGAGTACTGATCACATAAGGAAGCTTCCCATTAACTTTTAAGTTTGTATTTATCTATAAGTTTGAAAAGCTCCACCCTTGACATTAAATAGTAAATAAATTCACCA